TAGTATAATTTTCTCGAGATTTTTACCCCATAAAATTTGTTAAAAAAATTCGTTACATTTTAGTATCAGAAAGTGCAATTTTAAGTCGGTAAGGCTTACCATTAATTGTTGGCAATTTTGTTTTTTTTTTCTTTTTTGACAGTGTTACGCTTTTTTCCATACAAATTATGTATGTTCGGCCTTCTTTATTGAAAGAGAAGTAAATGAGCAGCACTTTCCATTCGCACTTTATTAAACTCAATTTTAATGAGTTACAAAACTGCAACCCAATTTTTTTTCTAAAGATTCTAATTAAAAGGTTTGAAATTTGGTGAAACATTAGTTGCGTTCGCGTAGCTGTTAATTGTTCATGTTTAACCAAAACTTACAAGTTTTTGCGTTCGCGTACGCAAAAAACTCGCAAAGTAGGGGAAATTGAGAGAGCAAAGTGACATTTCATTTTGAGGGGAAGCTGCTGGTTTCTGCTGGAAAAATTTTTGCCAACAGCAATTTGCCAACAGGAAAACAGCTGATCAAAAACAGCTGGTTGGCATTTACGCAACTCACAAAATTGAATTTGATGGTTTGGAAGTTAAAAATTACAAAATGCGACCAATTAAACTTGTAAGAAATAAGTAGTTATTTGTTTAATCAATAAACTGTGTCAGTATAACACTTTGTGATGGCTTTTCGTACGTTTTAAATTTTACACTTTTGAATGTAAACAAAAATTATATCAGCTGTTCATCTAACTTGCAAGTTTCTGCAAATTTTCTTTTCGCGTACTATTTGGGATATTTTTCTCTTGTGAGAGAACAGATGACATTTCGCCGGAATTTGGCAGTTGGTTGGTTTTTACTGGAGATTTTAAACGAACGCACCTATTGCAGAATTAATTTTATAGTTTTTCTTAGGAAAAGAGCTTTACTTTATAAAATAAAGCCACAACTTACTAAAATGTCGGGTCTCAATTTATATTTTGGTCACTGTATGTATTCTTCGACTCGAATCACAGGCATTCAGATTAGAAAATAATAACTGTTTATAAAGAAAATTGCCATTATATACCAAAATCACTTAAAACTAGTTCATAGGCAAGCCATTTTAATGAGCTGTTAACAGGGTACGAAAATAAACTGTACAAAACAATTCCCATTTGCTCATCGATCATCATATCATTTGTGGTTTTGTACAGTTTTGTAAATAGTCAGAAACAAATTGTAAGATTCACTGTCATTTTCCCCAACGAGAAACGTTTGCTTTTCGTTTGTGACAATTGTACCATAGGGTACGTTTTATATGTATGCAAACGTTTCAATTACGTGAAAAATAATTTTTTCTGTAAATTTTCATATCCAATTCAATTAAAAAACATTTTTATTTTTTTTATTCATTGCAGCCATTCGTTTTGTATTTGTTTAGTGCATATATGTACATACATAAAAATATTTTCCCTGCACGATTCATTT